CCATAAGGAACACCATCTTTTTTTGCAATCCTTTCTAAATCTTATTTGCACCGATTTCGCCCCTCTCTCGCTCATATCCATCAGCTGTTCTTTCAGGTCAAAGTCTCTCGCGCAATGTATCGATCCTTCTTTCAGGCGGCCATTTACCAGTGCGTTGCTCACATTGCTGATGCAAACAGCAAGGACTGACCGAATGGTCGAGTGGTAACGCGGCAGCACTTGAAGTTAGCACACTTAGGTTCGACCGCGCGCGAGACAGCAGTTTTGCGGCTGTCTACGTTATCAAAATTTGATGAGCGAAATAACCGCGTACTGAGATTATACAAGATTATTAAAACCTACAATCACTCCGCGAGCTGCCGGCGGAGTTGGCATCTTTCCGCGATGTGTGCCAACTTGCCGGCATCTATGATGCCACCAGGTAGGGTAGATTACTACCGGCCTTGATGTCGCCTTTCAGCTTCTATAGAGGGCGCAAATTGTCATTTCTGCCGTATCGGTCCCATTCCTACAAAAACCAAAAATCTCCTGTTTCAACAGGTTCGCCGGTCTGCCCCGAAATAAACAAAAGACTTGTCTACAGCGAGAAATGAAATGACACCAAAATTAGTTTGTAGATGAGCAATGGGGACTTAGGACTATGTACGAAAAATTATGAAAAATGCGAACTGAAGGCGTGGCAAACTTTTTTTGGAGTTGGGTGGCTTTCCAGCCACCTGGACAACCTGAGATGGCTGTGAAAAGAAAAAGTCATGAATCTTCCTCCCTTCACATAATTTTCTAACATGTTTAACAAAGCTTTGTTCTACATCAAAACCCTACAACTGAGTTTTTTGATCTCCCTAAACCATCTCTTCCTCGCCCAGTCACAGCCATCCGACTATATTGTACGGTGGCGGCAAGCCTGCTCCAAGCGCGAAAGAGTGCACGCCGGACACAGCATGCCGCCAATTTGGAAAACACGAAGCATTCTCAGTTCTTTTTTGTCTGTTCAATGTTGTTTTACGTTGTTTGTGGCAAAGTCTATGGGGACTACGTTTTTGAAAAAAAAGCCACCTTATGCCGAGCCCTGTTTACGTCGTTTGGTTCTAATTTGAATCACATAATTTCACACTTGTTTCAGATAGGTATGTATAGCCAAGTGATTATATGCCAATCTAGTAATATAAACACATAAAATGATGGTAACAAATGGCATGCGTATTTGCAAACGAGTCGTTTCTTCATCAGTTTATAATTGAAAACTTTTGGTATTCTTCATAATCTATATTTTTATGATACGCTAACAAGTAGATTTGTAGAAGCTCCGTCCTCGCTCCCGCACGACATCTCCTTTGCTTCTTACTCTCAGAACTATCCAGCTTGCTCGCGTGTAGTCCTGTCCATGCCTGCATGTGCGTTCCGAATCACCTGTGCTTACGAACCCAAAATCAGGTTTATTCTTATATAAGTAAAAAAAGCATGGGAAAACATTGATTAGAATAAAATGAACGAAATAATCAAAAAGGATATCTGTAATAAGTCATTCTGAGAAGAGATATTTTCGCTGTTTTGTTCGCACAACGCCATTTCCTCATCGCATGTTGTGTTCGTAGGGCAATTTGTGCACTGAGCGCCTACCTCGTATATAGCCTGCCCAATGATGTTGCCACTGAAACTAACACTATTAAGATTCAAAATTTAACCATCAAATTACCTGTCATTAGCACACTCTTATTTCAGTCAACATTTTTTCCTGAAAATTAGGCTAAAATTTGTACCACAGAAGCTGAAAGTAACGATAGATTTTTAAATAGAGGACATACTTACGATGAAAAATTGATGGACTCAATTCTTCTACAGCGAAATTTCGATCACCGTTTCATCCAAATTTGAAATTTTGCGAGCAGACAACAGTGCGATTTTATGCATTATCGAAGAATTTCAAAATGCATCAAAAATCTTTGTTGATAAAAAACAAGTTTTTTCTCCAAAAAGTCACGGAGGATCAGTGATAAGAGCAGGTCCTTTTTTACAGATCAACCCATCTAAACCATCAGTTGTTAAGTGGAAATCAGCAGCATTGCAATTTATGAATAATCGAGCGCACTCATTCTCCACGCCAAACATTGATTCATGATCATATGTATCAGATCCATACAAGACAAGAAATTTCGAAAAAAAACGATTCAATTCTGGAGCCTTAAAACTCTGTATTGTTCGTTGCTTATTCACATTACTAATTCAACAATTAATAAGGGACAGCTATCGCCGTACAGATAAGAACATCAATGTACAACCTTGCACTTTTCTAAACGGAATCATATCGCACAAGTTCAGGGGGAAGTCGTCAAGTTGTGTTAAGGACCTGACTCGAGTGATAAGCGTAATAGGATAGGGCAAACAAACTGTCGAAGCTATGAATGTTTGTTCCATATAGACACTCTTTCACGAACAAGACTCGTCGAATTCTACTAATCAAGGATATTTGTACTTATCAGAAAAAAATCGGATGCAGCAAGGAACCCTAAACGATTTTTCGCCACACTGTTACTAAGCTCATTAGGAAATGACTTCGCAGAAGGAATATTGAATTGATCGAAAAATAATGTTGCACCACATACTACTGCGACGGTAGACCCGAAAGAAGTGAATAGAACCTGTGATAGGGCAAAGCAAGCCCATAAGATGGAGTACAAGCGTTCGCGAAAACACTGTTCCACCTAAAATGTGAAGCCAATACAAGAAATTTATTAGGTTGGCACAAAGAATCTTGGACAATGCATTTGGACAAATTTTTGCTCTGATATAATTGATTGGGGCATGCTGCACACCGGTGGATAAAGGAAATCAATCTCTACAGGGTTATGATAAGCATATGCCTTGTCTATGAAAATGCATGCTTTCTATGAAAATTCAGGCGAAAGTTCTAAAGCATAGATTTTGTTCTAATTGAAACTTCCAAATTCAATGAACATTAAGAAACCCACTCATGCTCCAATTTATAGTAAACACATACTCACATACTTACATGCACAGTTTGTTTAAATTTTGAGCTTGAACAACGCAAAAACGAGATAAATGAAAAGCTGCAAACTCCGCCTTGATCCCAGACCCCTCATGCTTGCTTAAATATCAGTTACAGACGAGAGAGAGAGCACAGTTCATGGGATTTCGAGAAAAAGCAGATTTTTTTCAAAAACAGCCCAGGACTTTCAAGCTAACCTAGAAAAACCTTAAAAATCGCATCTCTGTCCATAAAATGTTTGGAGATCTCCAAATTGCCAGGCGAATTTTTCTATGAAAATTGCTTATATATAGCGTTTTTCGCGTTTTCTCCGTGCATATGATATTTTTCGAACAGTAAAGCTTTAGAATAACGAAGATTCAAGCTTATATTTCCAAAAATTCATATGGGATTCCCTATCTAAGAAAAACTGGGATTGATTGCTTTGACAAAAGCAATCAATCCCAGCTACTAAAATTCGTTTTCTCGGTTTTAGCCATGAGAAGATGGCGTGCTGGTGTGGAATTGTCTGATGTAAGAAAAATGTGCACGAATAATTTGCAGGTCCCCAAAATTCTTTTGGACGGTGGATATCTGGTACGATGTTCTTGATTTTTCAGGCACTTAGAGCGTTTTGAAACTTGGTTTCAAGCTTCACGAATCAAACTCTATGTGAATATCTGAGCTTTGTCTCAAAAAGCTTGCTTTGCTTTATCGAATTATAACTGTTTTACTTTTATTCGTTTGAATGTAGCTATAGCGTGATGACCGATTATAGTATTATCTGAAAAGGGGAGAATGCAGATACATAAAGCGTCGTCATGAAACATATTAGGTTGTCAGATCATTTCTGTTACACTTTTATTTTGATTCTTAAAAATCTCAGAAGTTTTGGAAAGATCTCATGTTCACGGCGTATGAGCAGGGTCAAAAGGCTTATTCAAGGGTACCGTTGCATCCGCGATTCGTGCAAAACACTCACTTTGTGGCTGGTCCGTTTTTTCCCATTTTTTGTGAATGAGCTGGCGTTCTCTCAGGTGAGCGATAGACCGGACAATGTGGTAATCAGGTCATAATCTGTCGTGTTTAGCTAATACGCGAGGATAACGCAGACATGTCTGCACACGTTTTTCTGAGCGGTTCAAATTCTCAGTGTGCGCCGTCTTTGCAATCATCGGAATTTTTACGAAAAAAACGTCTTCAAAAATTTCAAAAAATTATTTCTGTGTTTTCTGTATTAATTTTCATACGACCTGAAGAGAAGAATTTAGGAGTTGATATTTTCTTGATATTTTTTTCAACCCTCGTTTTTGAAAAGCTAGAGGCACCGGCCTCCTTGTAAGAGACAATGCCAAAATACGTTCTAAAAAAATTCTGGAAGACGAAAAGCGCAAGTAGGTGCAGAGATCAGACAAAACTAAAAAAATTGACTGCTTTTATAAAACTGCCGTAAACTTGTTGGTCATTGGTGCACTTGCGGCATCAACCATGCTGCTGGGCAGACCTTGTTATGTCCTGTTCGTGTTGCAAATTTGGGTTTTTCAGAACGTTTCTGGACGTTTTGTAGAAAATTTTAAAAAATGTAACAAATCATCCGACAACCTGATATTAACCTTTTCTCTTTCCAAGGAGTTGCGCATGAGTCCTAATGGGCTCCACTGCGGTGGTGAGCCGCATGGAATAGCTTGAATGAAAGAGATAAATGAGTTACTTTACTAACCTGGGAGAATAGCGGCAAACGAGATTATGAACTTCGCCGCATTTGACGATTCCACATCCAACGTCCTTAGTTTTTGCCCATGCCATCTTTAAATATCAAGGCGCTTGACATTCAATCGAAAGGAAGTGGTAAACCTGTACGAAATGTCTAATTGGGTGTCGGGAGTGTACATTCCTATAAGTCACTCTTTTGCTCATAATATTTTCATGCTCCGCTATCTGCCTCCACCACGATTGTATCGCCTGCACAAAATCACAACGCATCCAATTTAGCAAAACAGCAATCAAAATGCTGTCAAGTTACCCAACGGATTGCTCCAGCGAATGTGACTGCATCTTCCTGATGGATTGAAGCAGTATTCTCTCCATTTTCTTCCTCACTGTAATTTCCAGTGAGAAGGCATTGTGCTGCGCGAGTATGCGCAAGCTCTTCCAATGCACAATTATATTTCTGAAATATTGAGCTAATTTTCTTCCGCGAATCGTTTCATTTGAACTAATTTCATGATATTTGTAGCTGACGGTAGCGGATTGCCATGTATCCTTTTCACCAGACCTTTTGCAAGCGATGATCTTTAATTGATGTATTCATCGCAAGAGCAAGCTGCTGAATGAAGAAACCTGCGGTAATTATGTAGCCTCAGCACCATGGAACGGAGTTCGTCTGCCATTGTTGTGTTTACCGAGCACATCTTATTGCTTTTCAACTCTGCAAATACATCGAAAATTGCAGGCGGTTACGCCACAGTCCTTTGGGTAGATTATTTTATCGATTTTTAGCACTTTCAGATGAGATAACTCAGCACAACATGAGTCTAACATAAGTATCTAATGTATCTACCATGATGTATTCCATAGTCAACCCTAGAAGCATGACCAGCTTAGCAACCATAACTTACCATTTAATTTTTTCACAATTCTCTTCTCTGATGTTATCCTGATCAATCTTCTGCTAGAGTGCTTGTTGCCAGAGTACTAAAATAAAAAGTTGGAATATAAGTTATAGAATTTGCAAAGTCGACATCATTGACATTTCTTCGTGTCATCCATCTGTTTGTCTCCCCCTATTTTGATAGTAAAAGCAAATAAAGTACTACGTAATCTCAGAATTTCACAAGTGGCCTAAAAGCATGAAATTTAAGTTTGAAAAGTCATCTAAAATACTTTTTTTCAAAATGTAAACAGCGATTACAAAACAAGATGATGAAAGCTAATTATAGCTGCAATCCAACTCACAAAGCTATATCCATCTTCAACTTCTTGGGATTCCTGCTGCACTACACAAAGTCCCTGCTCGTCGCAATTTGAGTTTTCGTGCGCACTACAGTCGCTGTCATTCTTGCATTGCTCTCCGAGTTCATAGATTGTAGTCCCATTTTCGATATTCCTATAGAATGGAATTGTACAATCACTATTTTTATCGTGATCTTTTTCTATTTTTTGGAGCAGAATGGAACACTACAAATTGTAATGTTTCTTGCTGAGCGTAGCAAGATGGTATGATCAAGTTTTATATGGCTAACATTTCGGCATCCACGCCGTCCTCGGAGCATGAATTGCGGTCACATCGCTCGACTTCCGCGCATTAGAGTGAGCATTGCTTCCGTTGTTTGTTTCTCGCACCAGGTGGCGCGGCTCTGGTAGTTACGACACGTGCAAGTAGAGCCATGTAAACTTTTGAAATCAAGCTCCGAGGACGCGTACACCCGTTAACGAAATAAAAGGCTACGCTCGGCAAGAAAAATTACAGTCTTTAAAAATGCCCAAATTTATCGATTGTCGAACGTGTAAAGAGCTTGAAATTGATTTTCTGTCAAAATGAACGTTTTTGCAGTCAAATGGATATCAGTGAGAGGTGTTTAACTGCAGAAAAACAAGCTTTAAGGATGATGTTTCTAGGATAAACGTTTGCAAAGCATTGCCTGACTCCGCATAACCTCTCCTTTGAGAATTAGATTAGTAGTAGGTAACAGTGCTTTGCGCTTGCGACAGCACTTGTACACATATCGTTCCGGTCGAGACAATAAGCGTAGGAACGTTAAATTACTATAAAAAGCGCGGAGATTTTGCTCCCTTTAAATTCTTGTCCAGACACGGTCGATATCGAAGAAGCGTTATAGATGGATCAAAAAAAAGTTATTATCAACAACTCAGATACTCTCTGCACGTATCCTGTTGATAAATCTCTTTCATAGTCCAAGGGGCTAATAAATACCACCACAATGAACTGTGGAAGTCAACCGGTAATCGAGTTATTTTTAATCGTCACTTCCTTCTGAAATCAAGTTTTGATGCTTTCCAGTCAATCTGTTACTTTTCACAGACCCATTTTTGGTTCAACGCAACCATCGAATTCTTGTTCCTGTGGCAGCCCCCAATATTGTTATATTGATGCCAATTTGATGCATACTTTATAAGAAACATTTTCGGAACATAAGCTGAGATTGATGTCTTGTAGCCAACGCCGAAATTGTTACAAACTTTATTGGCCAAAGTTTCGTACATGCTATTTTCGGAACAATTTTTCAATTGACCTTATTTCTCAGAACTGCCACAAAATGTCGAGCCAACTTCTTTTGCTTTAATACAAATAGAACATGTTACCCTTGTTTACTAATTTAATTTTACAGAATTTTACGCTCTCAAAACCGGAATTTCTCTGCAATCACTTATTATCAAAGCACAAGGAACATTTCTATGAAACATAGCCAGTCAATGGAAGCTGTTTACGTGAGCACAGATAGCCTTGATTTTGAGAATTGAGATTTAGAAATGGACACGAAGGATTTAGAAATGGACACGAGGGAATGAGAATAACGAGCAGTAGCTGCGGCCATTGAAGCCTCAAAATTCTCAAACGAGACAGTCATCAAAGTTTCATACTTTAGAACATTCTCTGTAAGCTGAAAGAATTTTGGAGCTCAAGTCGGGACGCTAGGACTTACCAAAAAGCATGATATCGATGATAACGTTATACTTGATTTCTTTTTTGACAATGCCCATTTTCTTTGCTCTTGTGCTTTCTGACTGCACTTGTACTACAGGCTTGCAGCCAGGGTCGGGCACGAGGTGAGCAAATGACAAGCTGGAAATCGTTTTTGGTGGAAAAAAGCAAGGGGAAATCGTATTTGGGGGGTCCGGAGAGGAGCCCCAGAAAAAGATTGTAAGTACAAGCAAAAGAAGGTCGAATCATGCTTATTACCTTATACATCTAATTCACTGGGAAGTAGTTTTCATAAGCCTCAACGCACAGCAGAGTTTGCGCGCGCTACATCGCACCGCCGCTAATTACTGCGTGCGTGACGTCGCATAAGCGATGCCGTTGAACAGCATGATTACGTGATCACAGATAGCACCAAATAACGTAAGCGAACGAAGAGAGGCTAGTAGAGACAAAGTATATAATATTATGAAAAACTTAAGTGAATGGGAGGTGTAATAAGCATTTTTTTCAAAAATTTTGCAAAACGGGTAAATGAAAATGTGAATTCAAATGGCTCGTTTGCAACGTACAGATGACCGAAACTTCGTAGGTACAGAACACGGGCCTGCAGGGCTTAACTTAGTATTTTCATTCAGAAATTAAGTGGCTGAAAGTTGTGGAAAGCTTTTTCTGAAAATTTCCCACTATCAAGAAAATGGAAAAATGGCTCGTTTGCAGGGCAGAGAAAACGAAATCGCGCGAGACTTGGTGTGTATACGCGCAGTAGGACTAAGGAACAATGTATAGAAAATTATGAAAAACTTATGTGAATGAAGAGCGTGCTTAACCTTTTTCCAAATTAGGTGGGCAATTGCCCACCTAATGCCTACCCGAGGTGGACAAAACTTTCAATTCACATAATTTTTTCAAAATTTTTACATAAATCTGTTGTGCAGCTAAAGTCTACTATATGGTGAGATTTTGGTTCCGAAACTCCTCCTCTTGTCTTTGTTAGAGCCTAAAATCGCATCAGCAGCCTAGCTTCCTATGATGGAAAGCGCGCCCCAGTCAATCGATACGCGCGAGAAGGCGTCTCTCAGTTCTATGACTGCGTTACATTGATATTTCTTCATTCCTTTATCATTTTTCTTGCTTATTCTTCTTACTGTTTCCTATCTTGATACAGGCGAAGAGTAATTAAAAGAATTTAGACAATTTGGGCGCTTTTGAGCGCTTTTGAGGTAACGTGTGGCCGGTGCTTTCGTTGCACAAGCACAGAACATCGTTTTTAGGCTCAAGGGGGTGTTCGTAAAAAATATTGGGATTTTGTTTTAGAAAACCTCGTTTGCCCACCTCGTGTCGGGCCTTGCTTGCAGCTACATATTAAGCTTGTTTTCATTATAAAAAGGTTAAGTTTTAGTCTGTCATAAATGGTGTCTCATAAAAAGTTTGAGACCATAATTCCTCGTTGAGATCAGCAGCGCGCTGATGAATATAAAAATTACTACTTCTGTTACTACTGAGCACACTTTTCAGTATATGGTCCTATAACCATAGATCGTCGATGTGCGGTTCTACAAAGCATGCATCAATCTTGCATTGATCAATCTCACAATAGACGCCGCTCGACATATCATGAACAATATACAGCGAAAACATTTGTATCAAATATTTGATCGTCACTGACCCTCTTTTGAAAAAAAACTTGCGGATCTACTAACATATTGTAGGGCTATCAGTGGCTTGTGGCGATACAAATGGATTACTCATTGCTTTCTATTAAATTATTCTCAAAGTTGGTGAAAAATCTCGCCATTTGCTAAATTGCCAAATTTATGCAGCTAATTTCCTTTTCAAGAGTTGTTCTAACTCTTCTTGAAAATCTTTAACCGGTTTTTCGGTAATTTTGTTGCAACAAAACAAGGAGAGACCGAGGAGTGACTGAAATACATTTCAAAAATCTCGGCTGTGGGAAGACGTGAAAGATTCTTCAAAAACTTGCTGCTTCTTCCCCGAGAATCTAGTCGCATTTTCACGCACTTTTGATTACCGTTCACGAGGGACTTCTATACAATCTGCAGCCGAGTACTGATCAAAGAGAAGAGCAATTGCCCGTTTAATGTCTTTAGCGTTGATGTTGCTAAAAGGAGAACTGAACTTGAAGAAAAGAACTAGACTCTGGGAAGTGTACACTTGCGAACAAAAAACATGACTAACCATTGTTCTTATTACGAATAACAAAGGTTAGGCTATTTGTACTCAAAAGACTTTGCCCTGATTAAAAAACCGGAAAGAATCAGAAAAGTCATTAAATTTGCCTCGAAAATAAAAGCGTGTCATTCAGAGCACAGTTAATTCTTTCGAATGTAGAGGTCTTTGCCATAAACGAACAGCTTCATTCACTTTAAATTATAAATACGCTACGAACCTACAAAAAACCTGATATCTACTCTTTCCTCTGTACGCAGCCGCAGTCTGTTGTCCTAAACGCGGACAAGTCCAAATTACGACAGAGAACCTTTTATCGCGGTCGCCTTAATTACCTTGCCTATGCGCGATCGCATCGCAAGGCACGAAAAACTTTATTGCAGCACGTCTTTAGTGTCAATCTTTCAAAAGGAGAAAAGGCCAGTTTAAAAAGATAAAGGATAAAGAATTCGGAGTCTTCACGCAGCGCATGAGGGCGCATCGAACGCACCATACTTCATGATCGAAGAGGCTACTGATCTGCGGACCCATTACAGTGATGCAAGGGGCCAGTCGACTACCAAGTCACTGCCTTTATTCTCCCAAATCACTCTACCAATTTACCGGACCCAGAGGGTAGAGGGCTTGGTTTCCCCAAAGGCGGGATCGAACCCGGATCCGATCTGGTCATAGCGGCACCTCCTCATACCACAACGTCACTCGTCCCCTGGTCAGCCGAGAAATTCTGATAACTCTTACCTAACATGGAGCTTTCCGCCTTGGCTGATTGTTCCATTGTTTGTATTATGCTATATATTGATGCACCAAACATGAACGAAAAATATCATCTCAAGCATTTACTCACGCAGTGGATTCAGAGAATCACTTTCAAGCTTATTGAGTCCAAAGCTTCTTCTCTTTGACTATGAGAAGTAAAGAGTATAAATAGAGATTTTGATTGTGGAACAGTCCTCCAATGAAATGTTTGTTTTCACAATTTTTGACCATTTGAAACAGCTTACGCAGAATTATAAAGGCAGGCTACAGCCATGAACTGGCCACATTGCTTTTGCGAGCATCCAACGCTTGTCGTATTGCCGCGGATTATCTGGAAATTATTCAAAATTTAAACTGACTCTAGCAACACTGTAATCACTACAAAATCAAAACTTTCCTTTTTTGCATAGCGCTAACAAATACTCGGAGCTCCTAAAAAATCAATAACGTACCATCGCTTTACAGCGTTAGATCGGACAAGTTTTCGGCATCACTGCTTTTGGCAAACCCGTTGGTGACTGAGATAAACTTCAGAGATTTACCAAGCTTGCAATGCTCCGTCCCTTTCATTGCTGGGAGACAATGGTATTAGCTACAAATGCTGATCGAGTAAATGTGGCGACTTTTTGGTTGCTTAGGACTCTCTTCTTGTAATATTTCAGGACTTCAGATACCGACTGGTTAATTATGTTACAAGAGTACGGTGGTTAAGCAACTTACAAAAGAAGTTTTTGAGTTGAAGTGGACTTTCCCAATGAGATCTATTCTCATTCGAGAGTCTTCGAGCGCTGATTTTATAGCAGTTTTTCATAGCTGCTCATCGGTCTACTGAACAAAGTTAAAAGCATTTTTCTGCTTGCAAACTGCATGGCTATGAACTGTGTAGATTACTAAATTCGTAATGAATGCGAAGACTTGGATGCCTGAATACCTGTTATATGTTTATCGTACATAAGAAATTGATCCGAATAGTTTCAAAGCTAATCTTTTACCTTAGAACTGCAACAAGCAAAATTCAACGTCACTTAAGACTAAACAATGCCTGTAACTTTGTCCAATGAATTGATAAGCAGAGAAGGAAAGCATATTCGTAATCAGCATTTCAAAACGATCACTGCAGTGACACTTTGCTGGGATAGGCCATTTTTAGTCGAATACCTCCCCTCTTTAGCAAATTGATATTCATTCATATTAAACACGATGCCTTAGTAAAGTTAAAGTATGTTGAGTTTTCGAAAAAAAACTATTAATTAGGTGTACCACGACTTTCGGGGCAGTTGCTTTGAAGCAGGCCTTTTAAGCTTAAAACTGGCTGGTATAGCCAGTTACAATCGATTTTTGAACATATAGTATGAATCTTTCATCTCACTTATACAACATTTTCCTAGCCCTGTCTCCACTTCTATGCGCCAATTTCCCGCTCCTACTGTATTTTCGTAGTCAGCATGCACATTTCCCTACCCTCTTACTCCCCTCCCCCTCCTCCTCCTCCCCCAGTACCGACGCTTAACGTACCAGCTACAAAATTTGCATAGGATCGATAAATTCAATGAATAATTTGTTAATCCAAAGGTATTTTTGTAGTCAGCTGCCCACTTACCACTCTAATCAAAATTCGCAATTTAAACTGAGGGCGATACATGATAGCCTTGAGGATGTACGTTTGCTAAATGCTCACTAACTCCTGTACAAACTACCAGCTCCCCCCCCCCCCCTCCGCCAAAGCTAAGTCTGCTGAAGAATTGATAGCTTGACAGCTGAATAACGATAAGTGGTCTATACTTCGTTTACGTGTGCAAAGTATGTGCAAACTGATTTAAAAATTTTCGTCCAAATTTGCTGGAAAATCCTTCATAATTTGATAACAAAACTGGTCTATGAAAGTCCTCTATGAATTCGTGGACGTTTGGCGAACGCAGACTGCGTGAAGGTTGAGCTTCAACCGTATTCTACGAGGTATGCCTCAGGCATTGAAGCAAACTGCTCACTCGCAATAGTTTCCCAATAGGCCACAGATCGAACTTTAATAGCTTCCACATATGAAATTTTTCGGAACATTGATTATTTTTATTGCCTCTCACTGCTTGGCACAGCTGGACACAGGCAAACTGGATGTCCTTTGGGTTAAAAGCAAAGGATGACGTCCTTCATGCCCGGCAGTCCAACAAATTGTTTTTGCCCCTACTTTTGAAAACTAAACTTATCCCACTGTTCCTTAAACACTTATAAATTTTCATCATTCACTACCCCGCCACTAAAACCCTCATATTTTGTAGACGTCTTCTGTGCTCATTGCTGCCTTGCATCCCATTCTGAGGAAATCCGTGGTTTTTTCGAGCTCCAGTGTGCTCTTCGTGAAAACATTGAAAAGCATTGATCTTACAAATGGCCCTTGAACCGTCCCAAATCACCTCCTCTCCTCTTAGTTACTGCCCCCTCCTCCCCGAGAATTTCTGAATAGCGGCAGCAACGCTACTTCGAGCGCGTTAGTGCGCGCCGAACGTATGCCGCCAAAGTAAACAAGTTGAACGTCACTGTATCTTTTATTGAAGTATTCTTCCAATCATCTGCTCTTCTCCGATTTTCCTCTACGTGCACTGCACCGGGTATATCACGACATGTCGCGAGCTTATGGGGGGCTTCGTTTACTAAAATCCCCTGCTCGTCTCGGCCGAATCAAAAACCTGAATGCATCGTCTCAAAACATAAGACTACTTGTTTTTGGCAACCTCATACTCCGAGAGAGAAGCTTTTGTCACAATATGGTACTCAAAAAGCAGCGATCTTTTGGAATAGAAGAGTTATTAACAGTTAAACATTTGTTACAGTTTGCAAACACAATGTAAAGGCTACTGCATGACGAAGGCGCAGAAGCGGTATCAGTTGAGCGGGCGCGAGCGCGGCGCGCGCGTATCTTCACCGTTATAAAACCAGTGTCTCATGCGCTCTGCGGCTACTAAAGCCGCGTTTGCGCCCAAAGGTATTGCGCCTTCGTCATGCAGTAGCCTTTACATATACATCATCCAGAAATAAAAATGAAACTCCGAAAGTGAAAGGCAAACATAGGCGACAACGGAAATGATTGTAAAATAGATTTCTTGATAAAGGACACCTTCTAGGATCCGGGTAGTTTCTTATTGATTAAGCGCCATTCTTTACCCTCATGCTTGAACCATAAGTCAAACTCACATTTGCAAACGATTGCGCTTGTGCTTTTCCATTGAAAACAACGGCATTGTTGTTGATGACTGTGGAATCAATACACCATGATGAAATCCAAGTGTCCCTTGCTGTGTCAAATAGACTTTCAAACCCAGCGCTGCTCAAGTCTTTAAGGCTAGATTAAGCTTTGATTAACTAACTAGAAGTAAATTTGATTGCGACAACATACAACGCATAATTCTGTCCGTAAAGTTGATTTGCAGTTGGTTCAGGTAGACAGCCACGAACCGCTGCAGAAGCCAGTCTTTCCAAACGGCAATTCCACTTCTTTATAGAACAAGTCTCTTCACTATCGAAGCACGTACCTATACCTACCAATCTATAAATATTCGAACCGCCTGGTAACTTGTTTGGTTCCGGATGAATACCAACTCCTTGAGCTATATGGCTTCGATAGAAGTTGTGATCACGTAGGATATGTCGTTTTTGTTGAAACGACATTGGATTTTCTACTGGACAAAAGTTCTCCAAAGCGTAATCTGTCCAACCAATCTGCAAAGCCAGTGAAGAATGGCATATGTGAAGCACTGCCGATAGTTACCTGCGATATCAATATTGATGAAGTTATGAGTAGTCGGATCGAAAGTGCCATTTAACCAAAGAGCGTTCAGCAAATTTACATTGATCGCATATTGAAGTAAAACGTGAAGAAAATGTAGCTACATTAAGTAGAGAGAATGAAAGATAATTACTAAAAATCTACGTTCGCCAAAGTGTCCTTTTTTTCTTACGAAGTTCTATTATTTGATTTGGAAGTGATGTTTGAGACAAAGACTGATTTGTCTTGAAGAGATTTCAGCAAGATTTCAAGAAATTCGTGCCTGCTAATACATCGGAAATGTCGTCTAACAAGTTTTATTAGGAAAAAAATGGACGCGCACAAATGCAGATGTTTTCAAACTTTGCCTTGTTTCTATTATGTTCGGTGATTGACCATCGTGCTATCTGTAGTGCCACACAGTCTGATTCTTGAAAAATGTTGTCACCTCCAATTAGAAAGTTTGGAAATTTTTCATAAGTCACTCAGCCTCTGGTCGTTGGCAAGTATTCTTCACATGCACAGTTGAGGCATGTGAAAACAACTTGTAGAGGCTTTACTTCAAGTGATGAGGACAAAACATCGAGATTGCAAAATCTCAGCGGGAAAGCTTCAATTTTGCACGTGAATCTCAGATATGTGTTGAACAAATAAAAGCTGAAACTTTCAATGACAAGCTTTGAACTCGAGAAATACAACTTGGGCTTCAGTATTTGTTTGTTCTATGTTATTGTTATTGTTATTGTTATTTGTTTCAAGATAAAAGGACTTTGAGGACAACTTGAGCTTTTAGAACCGTTTTGACCCAAGACTGCGTAGTGGAAGACGAAAGCTGCTACCTTATTGGCGGGGTAGCGGTCAAGAATAACGATAGCTCTGCCAGCTGCTAGCTGCCAGCTGCTCGCGCGCGCAGAACAGCTCGCTTCTCACTCATCCATGAAAGTGAGAAAAATTATTTAAACTTGAGTTTCTTTCACTCATCGTTTTCTACAACGATCAAGGAAGCTTACATATTTCACATGCTAGCCCAAGACATTTCTATCGCGTATTTATGGCAATGTGATTGCTGGTTATTTCCATCTTCAAAAAATAGCAAAAGCCTTAACATGAAGCACGTTTAAAGAAGAATGAAGGTTTGGCTTACTGCTTTGAAATGTAGGGCCTGCGTGAGCTCGTCCGCTGCTAGGCGCTGCTATCTTTGCACCTTTATTAACACCGGGACACTCAGGGTGCCAGTATTGCTAGCTATCGTTATTTTTGACATATACCCGGAAGCAAAGGCGCTAATAAGGGCGCTAATAGCGCTTTTCTTTTCACTGAAACACACAATACTGGAAAGTGACTTAGGGTATTTGCTTAGAGTTGATCGAGAAAACAGAACAATGGTTCGTCCTGTAGAAGGTTGTTCAAGGAAGACTTAGTAATAGAAGCTCAAGTGCAGAAGTAGAGCACGACATTTTGTATATGGCGAAAACTCTGTTAAATTGAATTTTTGTTAACTCTCTTAATTCTACACCCAGTTAACAGCTCTACGACTCCTCAAGTTAAGCTATCATTTGCCAATGCCGACGCTTAGCGTAAATTTAATAACCAGACACTACACTACAAACATTAGTGAAGCTTGAAAGGCTGATCTAAATCTGCTTTTCTATCTCTGCAGGGCTCTTTCGGGGCAGAAGTTATGAGCATTTTTCAAAGCAAAAGATGAATAATGGCAAAGATAAAGTCAATTGTTACAGTTATTTTAGAGATATTAAGATGGCTAAAAAATAACGTTTTAACGTTATTTTTTAGCCATCTTAATATCTCTAAAATAACGTTTTTAACGGTTTGCAGAAATGTCACAGATAAATTCGTGTATAAATGTTTGGTAACATTCGAAAGAGTATGAAAGAGGAATTGGATGGTTAACTTTGTTTGCTCAAAAATTATTTTTTGGTGGCGAAATGGTGCAGGAGAGCAAAAAAGCCAGATTTTTCCGTCAAATTTCAGAGAAACCAAACTTCAAAAATTAAAATTGGATGTAAAGTGCACGAATGGTACGCACACATCTCTCTGTAACCACTCGCATGGCCATAGATGGTAAAATTTGAGCGATTTGAATTGCCCCAAGACTAACTTCCACGCGCAGATACCTGGAAAATCTCACATTTTTGGCTGCGGAAATACACAAATAGCAGAACACAACCTGCATTGTGGTTTGCCATGTAGCCACGGGTATATATAATCATCAAATTACTCGTCTGTGCACTTACTACAAACTGAGAACGAAACCCAAAAGCCATAAAAGTAATTTTTTGTCTATGTCATGAGTAGATGATAGCAGAAGCCTGAAGCTAAACGGATACACAAAAATTACAGGCTAATAACAGTTAGTTAACATTATATTGAGCTCCGAAGTTTCATGTCAAAACGAAATTATGTTAGCCAACTTAATAAAATAGAGAAATTAGAAATACTGATATGTTTAAAACGAGTCTATAGTAAGCAGTCTCCTGACACTTGCCGTTGTTGTTCAAGGTCTAGAGAGGCTGTAGCAGCTATTTTATCTCGGTCATCAGTTCATTTTCGGCTTTGAAAATGCTCATGGATCTTTCCGAAGGCGCTCTGCTGATATGGAGAGCAGGTTTGAAATCAGCGCTCCAGGCCTTCACTAATGGTATGCATTGATCGGTTGCTACGACTTTGTAATTTTCTCTCATAATTAGAGGCAATTGAACGCGCTATACACTTACCAAATGAACCAAACAATACGTACCAGTTTGCCACAGACACTGTCCATTTTTTACCGCTAAAAGTTATTTTTGTACATTATAAACGTCATCTTTTTATGGAGTGCAAGCTTTACAAGGCTATTCGAACGCATCAATTTTGGTAAACGTGAAGGCTGAAGGCACATTGAAAAGAAATTTCATAATTAATAAGAGGATTTCCGCGCAAGTTGTGGACCTATAACTTAAGTTCCATATACTCTTCACATCGTACATTCAAATGTACACTTGCTTATTTTTTCGTTGCTGGAATTCGAGATACTAAGAATTGGCATGATCGTAACCGATGCTGTGCTGTTTTCAGGTAACTCAAGTATAATCATTGAATTTTAGCCTTTTACAGACGCTGCTTTTTATTCTTAGCATAAAAATGCTAAGTAGAGCGACATTTACGTTTACAAGGACTACAACGGTAGGTCAAATTCGTGCTAAAAATTTCCACACTCTCAAAAGTTTTGGAAAATAAATGTCGACAAGCATTACGTATACGAACTTCAACAAAGAAAACGCATGTTTTAAGAGACTTCTGTCTTTTGTCTGTAGACATGGATTAGAGGCAAAGAATTTTGCACTTGCTTTGTATTTTCTGGAGTACAACACCGCAGATTCAGCTGAGCCTGAGCTTCAAGAAAATGCTTGCATAAAAAGCTAGAAAAAAGCTTAAAGATGATATGAGGGAGGGTAGAAGTTTTGAAAGAAAACAGTACGCGGAGGCAAGGACTATACGCGTAAAAGAAGATTCTTTTAAACCTTTCCTTACAAATCCCAAAGTAAGCACGCAATCTAGTTGAGCAGGATTGGAACATGAAAAACCATCAAGTTTATTACTCATTTACTTCGAGTATTTGACAAGAAAAACCACCAAGTTTATTACTCATTTACTTCGAGTATTTGACAACTATCTGCGTAATTTCCACTGCCATCAGAGCATGAATAAGTCACAGATAACTTACAAAGGAAGGCAACTAACTTAGATTAAACTTTCGGATAGGATTATAAACAGTTAAAGTCACTACAAAAGTGACTGCAGAGATGCTGTTCATAGCTGCGGCGCATTATTTTGAACCAGTTATAACCTTTTCTTGTGCGAAATTGACAAATTACATAGAAGGCATTTGAATAGAAATTATTTTCAAAAATCTGCTGAGATACCAAATTGACATCACTTCGAGCCTTTTACTATTAACAAAGAACTTAGCGTAGTGAACTAACATTTAGATGATGATGCGTAATGCCAGTAGGTTGCTGAGCATGCAAATCTTGCACAAATAAAGCTCAATAATTCTGGATGATTGTCGCAGCGAAAAAGCGTTCCAAGCGATTCCGAATAAGTTTCTTTTGAAAGGCCAGTCCAAGTGGAGTGTCTTTCCCTTGTTAGCTGCATTGAAGACAACAATATAGAAAAAAACAACTAATACGTATTGTATAAAACATGACTCCTAACATTGTTATCGGATCTTTGCATAGCCAAATAAGCTGCAACTTAGCTTTCGCATATCCATTTCCAATCCAGATCTCGCAAATGGTCTATTCATGGACTGAAAACGCCGAGGCTGCGCGGATGTTCACGACTAATGTCTCCATTCGTGTCGCTGGCTGGTTGTTTTTGCAACAGCTTGGATTTATGAAAAAAGCCTCAGTGGAGCATGTATCACTACCGTCGACAACTTCCTAGTTTCAGGCTACAGCGAGGAAGTCCGAAAGACTTTGAGTGTTTATAGCTTTTTCGCAAATGCTGAAAGAAAAACGTTTCTAAACTGGGGTTTTGAATGATTTGTGTATAGGATTTTTTGTACCATTTAACTCGAAAAGATAGAGTCTCCCAAATTTATCTTTTTTATTGGGAACCGATCGAAGGTAAAAGAGAATATAGAGGTGAAGTAGTGTGTTAAAATGTACTGGGTTGTAACAAAAGTCGTGTCCTTCTGTCTGTAAAAAGCCACGATTCTCAAATCAGTGCGGTTGTTAGTTCACGAAACATTTTTTAGCCAAAGTAATTGGCTGTTCTATGAGTAGTTCATTTTTAAGACCCTTGGAAAGCGGTTGGCCTGCTGCATGCGTACGTGACTTCAGATTTGGTAACCCTTACCCATTTCAGACACTGCTAAAATTACAAAACAGCAATCATCCATATATCGGCACTTCATCATTGGCAAGCGTGCAAGTAGTGGCTCTTCGATCTTACTCATGTAGCATATTGCGAGACCGCACGGTCTTCGGCCTTCGCAAGTCCTCTGATTCGAGAATGGGTAAAGGATCTTCATCGACGACCGCTCCGGCTCG